TCTCTGTCGGTTCCCTCGTAGGACCACTACTGTTTACTGATTGATGGCCATCATTACTGTTCGGTCTTTAAGACCTACTGTTTACTGCTATGCTAATGGATGTACCACATATGACCGAATAACTGTTCTGACTGAAAGACTGAAGTATTGTTTAATGAACTGATTTCATTACTGTAAGGACATTTCATTCATAACCCCTTTACGCATTATGTTATTCACTGGGCTTTAGCTCACTGTTTATATATATATGTAGGTGCTCAGCCGCCAGATCGGAGCTAGGAGCGTGGGTTAGACTCCAGTTTTGTCAAGCCAGCCTTTGTGCCTCACTGAGAGGTTCCGAGTTGCCATGCTATGGCTTTGGGATGTCTTGTTTTTCCCTCGTCTGTCTCCATACTGTTTGGATTACTGTATAGACTGTTAACTGCTAACCGTACTGTTATCAAGGGATTAGGTCCCTGTACTGTGTGACTGTAAATTTTGTATAGACTGTACTGTTGGTATATGTGAATGCATGAAAAATCTTTTTGGCATACAGACTGACACAGCTCAATGGACATTATTCATTTACTGTATTGGCTTCCGCCAGGCCCTGTACTCTGTTTTACTGTACTACTGTTCTGCAGGCCTTCGGTAATCTCGGATTACTGGCCGGTTACGGTGCTAAACCCATAGGGCCGGGTTTGGGTCGTGACACCCAATGACAATCTCAAGTCTATCAAGTTGAGGTACTGGCACTGTTCTAAGAGGTAAAAAGGTGAGACATTGCTGTAATGACAAGTGGTATAACACAAGATTGTAGCACGATGCAACAAGATGCCCTATGTCTGGCATAGTCATCCAATATGAGTAGCCAGGGCTGTCTTCAAAGTATGACAATATGCTTGTCAACTTTTCAAACCTTTCGTAGGACCTATTGAGTGTAATGTATTCCTCTTTGTGTGTGTGCAGCTCACCCAAAAGATCATGCCTAACTTGAGCCTAATCATCTTCTGTATGACCAATTGAAGCAGCTATAGCCTTGAAACCACAATTCTCATCTGCAGCTACATCTTTGGCAAACTTAATGTATGGTTTCAATCCAGAAGGGAAAGCATCAACATATGCATTAAGTTTTACTGTTCTGGTAATGTACACCTTCCCCTTCCCATTCACCTTCTTCTTTCCCTTAATAGGTCGCTTCTTCTTGGTTTCCGGAGTAGAAGCTAATGTAGTGATTTCAGTGTTTCTAGGTGAGAAGGAATCATGTCTAGATTGCACTAACTCAAATGCACACGGGTCACAATGAGTAAAAACATTGATCTTCTTATGACCTTGAGGACGTGTTTTGGGCTTCACATTCGGCTTAACAAGAAAAGTGCTTCCCGGACATACATCTTTTTCAACTTCTTCGAAAGCTCTAATCGCATGGTTCTATCACTTTCATTGAATTTTTTCACAAACAACTATACTTCTGCATGACAAATCACCTTCGTTTCCTCTTCTTTGTTGCATATGGAGATATAAAGTTGCCTCCACTGTGAGTGTATGGTAGCAAGTGGTATAGGACGATCTTGTTTGATGTAGTCAGCAATCTCATGGGCACAAGGTAAACCATGAGCGTGGCGAAGGACCATCCACAAGCTTCAGTATCAATACCAATGGAATTGACTCTCTTACTCTCCACAAGCAAATACTCTAATGTAGAAATAGACACATTACCTCGTAGCTCTCTAAACTAAGAAGGCTTGAATTGATGTTGCACAATAATTAGACTTTTCTCAAACAAAGCCTTGATATCATTGTGTTGCAAATCAAGCAAATTGTGTATTTTCTCAAATGATGCCTCAAATGAGATTTGACATGCACCAAATTGTCTTTTAAGTTTTGCATGTGCACTCTCAGCCCTATTTAATTTAATGTAAGTCAAATAAAAATCAAGTACATAGCACTTATTAATAACTTATTGAACAAAAGTAATCTTACTGGGTGGTTGTAACATTGCCACAATGCATACACGTGTTTGTCCATGTCGCTACAAATTTCTCATTGTAAGGAACCAACCAAGTATCTATGACGTAGTTCACTGCATTGGGATAACTACTGAATCCCTTAAGCAATGATCTAAGACGCTCATCGAATTGAATTTCAAAAGATGAATACACTAAAGAGTTCCACTTATGGTTGAACTTCTCCCATTTCTGCTTTATCTCAAACATTTTCTTGCATTTGGTTAATACATTCTTACTGATATACCAACGACATAATAAATGTCTACCACTCGGGAATATCTTCTGTATGGCATTCATCAAGGCTAGCTCGCTGTCAGTGACAATAATCGCTAGCAAAACAAAACCATCCATGACATCACGTAATGTAGCTAACACCCATGTATAGTTATCGGCCCTCTCAGACTGTAAGTATGCGAAAGCTACTGAGAAAGTCATTTCAGTTGATGTCACTCTCCACAATTTCAAGAAGAGGAAGATGATATCTGTTGGTTTTATATGTGTAATCCATAATCAATATACGTGGGAAAGACCGAAATAAGTCCAAATTGATAGGATGTGCCCAAAACAAGTCTGTCACAGTCATTGTGGACTCTTCACATTGATGGCACTCAATGTAATTATACTTGGCCAATTCACCCAATAAATGTTGCATCTGTGATCTTCCAGCTTTCTATACCACCCTATTTCGATGGCGTACATTGTAAATGGTTTTAAGTGTGCTTACATTGAGGGCTTACTAGGATCTCTTTTGGCCTAAGCATGCTCTTTGACATATCCATTAATAATGTTTTCTCATCTTTTGACAGCCTCTCCGCATATGAATGTCCCTAAATGTGCTCCGTAGGTGGATGGTTATGCAATTCGCATACTATGGTCAATGTCCATTTATCATTTGTGGTATACCTGTAAGCCCTCATATCAAAAGGACAACCACACTTCTTTGTACCGGTTATTCTTGATGTGTTGTTGCCATCATGTTTTAACTTCTTTGTCGCTCGATATTGGCTACTCTTCTAACAAGCAAGATACATCCTGGGTCTTTTTTTCCCTCCACCATAGTCTGATGTTTTGATTACAATGACCAAACCATTTCTCTTTCCAACTTTACGTACCCAGTTAAGTAATTCATACTTACTTTTGAATACCTACAAAGTCAAATAAATATTATAAAACATTTACATTTGTTGAGCAATTCAAAACACAATCATTAAAATTTCGTAGAGTGAATCTGTTTAGTTGTGAATTGAGTAGTGTAATTTAAAACACTATCCGTGCAAACCTGACTTCCTTGCGTTGAGACATATTATTGTTGGAAATGGTAGAAAAATTCTGGGTAAAACCAGAATTTTTTCTCAAGTTTGGTCTATTTTTTAGGTGGGCCCCGAGTGTCGATTTACTCGGGTCAAAGTGATAACGCGTTCTATGCCGCGTTGTGATTCACGTGGTATATTTGGTTGCTCAAAACCATTACCGAGTGAATGAGAAATTGAAGCCAAAGTGTGCTCCATGGAAATGGAGTTTTGGTGGAAATTCCTTAAGGTTGTAAATTGGCTTGTCCCACATTGATTTGGTGGAAAGTTTTGAAAGGGTTTATAAGGCTTAGGGTGAGATACTTGGGGTGTGCCCCAAGGGGAATCCCCAGATTATTGGGTTGGATTAGATGTGTATCCCGTGTTTATTTTCTCATGGAATTAGATGTCTAGAAATGACTATTTTTAGTAAATCTAATATTTAGTTGGACGAACTAGATAAGGATAAATGTGTAAAAGACTATTTTATCATTTTTCAATTGTTTACTAAGTAATAGAAATATTAAACATATCTTTAATATTTTAATTATTTTTTAGCTAGATTAAATAAAAATTTATTTTATTTTATTTTTTACACAATTAAATAAATCTATTTTTTTTAAATTAAAAAAATAAAATATCAATAAAATATCAAAAAAAATATATGTTATTTTTTTAGTTAAAACTTTAATTCATGTCGTACTTGTTGACAGTTTCCCACAAACATTTCCCTAAAAATAAAGCTTCATGAGGCCTCAACCTTAGTAATATAAAATTAAAAGTGATTCTAATTATTTAGGTGCCGTTTGGTAAAACTTACGTTTTCAGTTTTCTGTTTATATTTACAGAAATTTAAAAAAACTCAAATAAAAACTTGTTTGGTAAAATTTTTGATTTATAAATCAGTGGTCTCAGTTTATAAATTTGACCAAAAAATGAAAA